GATGCCTTTTGCAGCTTCTTAAAAAAAAAGAGATGTAAACGACCAAAGCTGAAGAACAAGCTGAGGGATACGCCCATTTAATGATTTGATGTGCCAGAGACCGAACCATCTCAGCATCAGCAATAGAAGGAGGACAAACTCCACTAGAAGCCGCCAATGAATTTATTTTCGTGGTGCATGCTGATGTAGAACATGCGCGTCCTAAAGTCCACTTTCCCTCGAGGCACTTTACCTTTCGTGCATCTGTTCTGGAGGCATTTTACGCTATACGCATGTGCCGTTGGTCATTGAGTCACGGAAGAAAGGTCGAGGTTGAAGGATTAGTTGAGTAGCTGCTCCACGTGAGATGTCGAAGTAGCAGAGAGGCTTTGAAAAGCCGAGCTGCACAGACAAATGGATGCTCTCTCACAGACGAAAGTTATCTGCGCATTTAATATAGGGACGTATAGGAACTGACACTGACAATGTTGATGGCCAAATACGTCTTTCTCTCATGAGCTTAGGGCTGTGGAAGCGAGAAGCGCAGTTCAGTTTTGATTGTAAGGTGGACGACTCGAAGGAGAGAGAGAGAGAGACAAAGAAACAATGCGCCTCGGAACTTAACCTCAAACACTTTGCTTTGCACAATATCCCCATGTTATTACATAATAATACAAGGAGTCAAAATAAAAGGCGATTTTACACAACCACTTTTCCTGTCTTGCACTGCTTTTGGGCGCTCTCAGCCAAGAAAATGCGTTGTTCATGTTCGACCACCGCTAAAGACAGTCAGCAAATGGAATCTTCGAGGCAGACAAGGCGATTATTGGCAATGGAGGAAAACATACTCCCATCCCTATTCCATTGTCACCTACCTCGCGATGGAGGAGAGAGATACGGTGGATGCAAGGCTTGTTGCCACTTTATTGCGTGCCGCTTTGGACCGGAGCATGTAAATGGGTTTAAACACTGTAATCCTCCTTGAAGGTCTCTACTGTAGAACCGGAAGCCCAGTGGAGTTGACTTTCGCCTACTCTCAGACCAGTACCCTTCTATAAACTTTCGCTTAAATTGATCGCAAAAGACAAATCGTGCCGAAAACTTCAATGCTCCTACTCGGCGGCCTAAGGTCCCAAACACCACAGCTGCGAACTGAAGTGGGCGATTCCTCTGCCACGCTTAAGGAGTGGTAAATTTGTCATTTGTCTCGCATCACAGATGCAAAATCATGCCACGCCTCTTGACAACTCAAGTGCCAAAATGGTCTTCAAAGCCGAGGACAGGGAGCAAGTCAAGCAGAGCCGTACTGAACATCTTCTCTTCGTTGAATTTCATTTTAAATAAGCGCTTAGTAAGAAATTGCTTTAAAGGTTGATTTACAGTATGTCAAAGGGGCACACTTAAATACAGTTCTTACAAATTCGGGTTTCTAAGGCCAAAATTTGACAGCGGCGATGAGCCACGGGAGCGCAGCCTCAATTGCAGCGTCATCATGACAAAGTGTGATGTGAGTGCTGTAAGGAGTACTGTTTTAACTTGAACAAAATTTTGCCGAAAAAAGGAAGGAAAAAATCGGCCAAAAAACACTAAACATACAAGGTGGCAAGCATTTGATCAATCGCCTTTGCCCTCCTCATTTCTACTAAGCAACATCTTCAACTATTATTCCTTCGAACTTATTAGGAGGTATTGGAGAATCATACGCCAACAGTACTGTTCTAAGTGCACAAATAATTTTCTTAAAAGCGGAGGATAGACACTGCTTAATAAGTAACCAAAAATTGGAGAAAAAGGAGCGCTGTGAAAGGCCGGATTGGTAGGCGGTGAGTCGGCAAGATGGTCATGTGGGACCAGAGGGCAGTAGATAGTAGCCTGAAAGACATGAACCTGCATACGTGTCTTGACGACATCGAGAGGCGTGTTGCCGTAGACGGAGGCGGCGCCAGCGATGATGCCGAAGAGACCGGTGACGACTTTTGGCACCGGTTGATTGGGTATACTATCGCCTCGTAGAGCGCGGTATTTCTCCTTCAGGCTCTCCATTACGAAAAATCGGATTGCCTGGTTGGTGCCTTGTTTGAAGATGGTCGGCGTGAGGCCATTGTAGAGTCCTGATAGACCTGGCGCATAAACGGAAAAAGGCATACGCGACTGTGAATTCAGCGATTTTTGACTTGTACACCGTCTACTAGGATTGAAATTCCGATAGCTCAAGGGGTTCCGCTACACGTTTTTGGTGCATGTGAGGTTGTGCAGAAAGGTTTGTCCATTTTGGCGCGCAAGTTACTTGAGGTGCCTCTTTGTAGCACTCCCCACGGATCGTGATGCGTTAGAAGTAGAAGTGTTTACGTCTCCGGCGCAATTTTAGTACGAAATGTTGTAGCAAAGATACATATTTGTTGCAT